TCCTCACCCTCCGCTGCCCCATTAGCACAGCCATGTAATAAATACCCCCGTACCCGGGCTGTCCCTTTTAAAGGGGGGTGGCTGCATTCTCAGGATATTAAGAAGGCTTCCGTGATTGTATATATTCTTTTGTTGTTTATGGAGGATAGATGGGCATCGGGTCGCCACGCTGCCGGGTGTGTCCACTCGAGTGGCTTCCCCCTTGGTTCTCGCATCTTAAACACATTAATCAGCACCCCCCACCCCCGTGCTCTGCTCTGACACACAGAGTTCATTTGTGTATGTTAAATGAGTCACTGGATGCGAGATCCCGCCCCCCCATGGGCACCAAGACCCACGTAGAGGCCACCGCCGCGCATTAGGGGCAAGGTTGCTTGCGGGGGGGGGGGGGGAATCGGCAGCCGGTACGATGGGGGTGGCGGCGAGCGTTCTATACTCATGTATTTTGCAAATACATTTTTGCTCCAGTTTTAAAACAAAAGGTCTTGAACAACAGTCTCGCTACAAAAGGTTAATTTTCCTGGCCCTGCTCATCCCCCCCCCCCACCCCATTCCCTCGCCTCCCTTCCCCTCATGGCAGGCTGATCAGGGAAGGAGGGGTGTGATTGCACAGCCCTTGGCCGCATGCTGTTGGGGGCAGGGCCGCTGCTGTAGTGAGACCGTATATGTGGTCGGCCACTTTGCGTTTAGTGAACCCCAACGAAATCTGCAGTCGCGTCTGAGGCAATCAGCTCGCAGGGCTGTAGTATGTATCTTGACTATAGTGTCCGGTGGTTGGTCTCACGACAGATCGCCGCCCCGCAGATATGACTGTCGCCGCTGACTCACTCCTCCCACCTTCCTTTGCCGTTTTCCCCTGGACCTCCAGTACCCAAGGGAGAGTGGGGAGGCCTGAGCGATTCGGGACAGCTCCCACACTCGCGCCCGTTCTCTGAGCTCTACAGTCCGGAATTCGCATATTTTTTTTTTTGAAAAAGTTGGGCTGCCGCTTTTTTTTTTTGCGCACCGTCTCCACGTCGCAGTAGATGCACACACTCCTGTTGGTGTGCATGCCTGCATCTTCATGAATTTCTCGTCTCGGGGTGATGCACCTGAGTGTTCATGCTCTCACGCAGGCCAGCCTTGGAGGGCAGCGCGGTTTCTAAACAGCTGTGCATTTTGTGCGTCTGCTTGCTCTTGTGCTGCCTCCGCCCCCCTCGCCCCCGAACCTTGTATCACTGTTCAGCTTATCAAAAATGGGCCCTGATAAAAACGGTTTTAAATTAAATAGGCAGCGAGAGTCGCTGCGGCGCCACTATAGCTGAATGGGGGAAGCCGCATTCGAATTGCGCATGAAGCGAATGTCGCCGGGGGGGTGTCAGGCAGCTGCCGGCACGTCCCTCAAACGGAAAAGCGTGTCCCTCGTGCCGATCCCGCTTTGGTTCTGCGGGTCTCTGAGCGAGATGCCTGTGTGGACCAGATGGCAAGCGGCAGACTGCTTTAGTCAGCCTTTATGCTCTTATCGTGTCTGTATCTGTTTATAAATGGACGTGGCGTGCATAGTGCCGGCCTGCTTTTTTATGGGCACTTGTCCGTCAGACCGGATGGCTTTGTCCCGTCTGTCGCGTGACGGCTCGATCGCGATGAGAGACATGGGGGATAAAGGTAAATTAACCATCGTGGCAAGCCAGTGGAGGAAAAGTTTTGCTGTGGGTTTATTTTTTATTCGACTTTGCAGTAGGGTTCAGGATTGAGAAGACACTCAGATGCTCTTTAAAGCGCATTACTCCAAGCGTGACCCATCTGCGATGTTCCGACAAGGAGAAACATCTGAAGGCAGATGCGCAAGATGCCAGTGTTGTCGACGGGAGCTGTCTTAATCCAGGATTAAACGGCTCAGCTCTCGTTTTATAAACCTTAAGTCTGCAGTTCTTTTTATTTTATGGTAGCCGCAATGTACGTCATTATTTTAGTGAAGCTGGTGCTTTTCTGCTGTTGAGTTCGAGTCCGTTCTGAGGAGCGGAGCTGGAGAGAAGCAGCGCACATTTTCGCCACGTGCCGCCGCCGACTCTGCATCGGGGAAATGGGAAGCTGCATGAAACCAGCACCTAATCAGCATTAACGGAGGCTGACAGTCCTGAGCTAATAAGCTGCTGCTCTGCAGATGTTCTGCTTCTGCCGAGGGGAAGTGGCGAGACGCGGTGGGGCCCAGTGGTTTGCCACGGCGCGGGAAGAACAAGGAGCAAACTCGGACGTTCGAGTGAAAGTGTTAATTGCGTTATTGAAGGGTAGCTGCCAGAAATGTGTAAAGTATAGTAGTGATAATAGTAGTAGAGTAGTAGTAGTAATAATAATAATATTAAATAATGCTGGGGCCAAAACTATGAATGTATAAGCAGAAACGATGCAAATTCAGGTTTAGAGTACCATGAATGGCAAATCGCTTTTAAAAAAATAATACTGTACCTTATGGATCTATGCAATCTCAAACTATGGGGACAGTTCATAATGCATGGACTAAAGCTTTATTTTGGTTAGGTTTGAGCAGAGAACTCTTGATTTTGTTGCGCAGACTTGTGGCCGGCCTGGTTTTCCTGTGATCTGCTGTCTAGTAGTCAAGCAGCTTATGCAGCTGCACACTGTATGAACTTGTTGCAGATGAGTTTGAGTTTGTGCCCAAGCCTTCGGTGGCCTTTTGAGGTCGTCGATTTTATAGGAGCAGCGTGGCGGAGTTCGATGGTTTTTGCAGCCGCGTCCGAATTTTCTGCTATACCCCGATCAGCCATAACATTGAAACCACTGACAAGTGACGTGAATGTGAATATGATCTCATTACAATGTCAGCTGTCAAGGGTGCCATCATGTATCAGGCAAGTGAACAGTCAGTTCTTGAAGTTGATGTGCTGGAAGCAGGAAGAATGTGCAGCGTAATGATCTGTGCGATTTTGACAAGGGCCAAACTGATGGTTTTACTGGGTCAGAGCATCTCCATAATGGCAGGTCTTGTGGGGTGTTCCCAGTATGCAGTGGTCAGTATCTACCCAAAGTGGTGCAAGGAATGCCAACTGATTAACGCCTAAGACTGATGAACGTGGGGAGTGAAGGGTAGCCTGCCTGGCCCGATCCCACAGGAGACCTACTATATGACACATTGCTGAAAAAATTCATGCTGGCTATAATAGAAAGGTGTCAGAACACAGTACATCGCAGCCTGCAGCGTATGGGGCCGCCGACTGGTCAGTGCCCCCTGTCCACCACCAGAAACACCTGCAATGGGCACATGAGCGTCGGATCTGCACCATGGAAGAAGCTGGCCTGGTCTGATGAGTCACGGTTTCTGTTGCATCATGTGGGGATGTGTGCGTCATTTACCTGGGGAAGGGATGGCACCAGGATGCAGTATGGGAAGAAGGCAAGCTGGCGGTGGCAGTGTGATGCTCTGGCCGATGTTTTGGGAAACCTTAGGTCTTGGAATTCACGCTTCACAAGAAACACCTACCTAAACATTGTTGCAGACCAAGTACACCCCTTCATGGCAAAGGAATTCCCCAACGGCAGTGGCCTCTTTCAACAAGATAACATGCCCTGAACATGAAAAAGTTGAAGGTGTTGACTTGGCTTCCAAATTCCAATTGAGCATCTGTGGGGATGTGCTGGATGAACAAGTTTAATCCATGTAGGCCCCGCCTTGCGACTTGCAGAACTTAAAGGATCTGCTGGTAGCATTTTGGTGCCAGATACCGTCTGACACCTTCAGAGGTTTTGTGGAGTACAGATCTGTTTTGGTGGTGTGCACCTTATTAAGCAGATGGGTTTTAATGTTATGGCTGATTGGTGTATTGATGTTTTTACGTTGAGAGAGCAGGATGGCGGAAATGAGCGGAGTTCTTTATGAAGTTCTTGTCTTGTGCAGTGTCTGACGGGCCGGGGTCTTCGAGTAGACCCTCAGAAAAGGGCTCGTTCATTAAGGCTGTTCTGTCATTTGCTGCTCTCTCGTCCATTTGCTCTTATTTCTTCTGTATTCAATTCAGTTTCCCCCCTTCCTGTGTTGGAAGACTGAGGCGCGAGCAGATTTACGTAATTATTGGGCCGAATCTGAGCTCGGGCACAGTGATGAGTCTGAATGGTGACCCAACAAGCTAGCGTCTCTGTTCTGACAGCGCGGGAGCTGGTGCTGAAATGATGTGCTGCTTGGGTCGAGCTGCCCGCTACAGACTGCTGATCTAGCCCAGCTGGGGTGCAGCCCATCGCCAGGCAGGCATCTGAAATCATTATTGAATATTGTCATTTAGCATTTCAGCTCCTGCTTTTACAATAACCTAAGCACGCTTCCAGCTTACTGTGTTAATAAATAAATTCATAGCCGCGAAACCCGGAATTCCGTGCGGACTTTTAAGGCTGTTGTGGGATGTGGGCAGGCGGTGATGTTCGTGGTCAGAGAGACCGTTTTTGGGGCTTTGCAGGTTGTGGGCGGGATCTGCTGTTATAGTCGAGCAAATAGCCTGTAAAATGCAGGAAGGCATTTAACTGTAAAGGGGAAAAACTGCTGCTTTAGGTAATTTTGTAATAGAATGAAATACCAAAGCAGCTTGAAGTTATTTAAACTAAGCTGGATGTTAACTTTAAAGAATACTCCTTGCAGTGAAGTCTTTGTTCAGCTGCTTACATGTTCAGTTTTTTTTTTCCATTTAAGTGCAAACGGTTTTTCATGTGCCTGAAATTCTGAAATTCTAAAGCTCTTACCCACAACTATCAGCAGACGTTCGTCTGACTCTGGATTCTATAACGCGGAGATTGCGAGCTGCAATGTTTCGAAGCATCGCTGTGTCCGTCCGTGTGGCCGCTTTCCTGGTTTTGTTGCATCGTGGGAAGCGGGTGACCTTGAGTGTGTGGTAATGGGCCCATTACCCATTACCTCTGTTCTTCGTGGCCATGTCTTAAGGAGCCTGTAAACCTATTAGCCTACACCTGACCTGCATCACAAAAGCAACATGAAGTCATAATTTTTCTCTGTCCTGCAGGGGGCGTAGCGGCTGTGCACTGCCATCCTGACCATGCTTACAGTGAGGAGAGCGATAAGGTAAGGCTCTAGCCCCAGTGGGGGCTCTTTAAATACTTTTCCAAATACTTGTTCCGTATATTTTATTTACAGTATTTTTAATCTTTTATAGCACACTAATGGTAAAAGTTTAATCTCAGCGGCAATAATTTGAACTGAATTTCAAGCTTCGCATTGGCCAACGTTTAGCTTTTACGTGGAATTTGACTAAAGGTTGCGCAAGCATGAGCATCGATCTTTAAATGTACATTTGAAACCGAGTGCGTGAACACTCCTGTAAGGATGTTCTCTTCTTTATAAATGCTGTTAGACAATAACCAGACCAAATAAAGTATGCCTTCCGTGGCTGTGGGCGATATTGGTGAAGCATCCGTCACTCCGGCACCTGTAGCTGTTTGTAGCGCTGTCTGTAAGGTGACCTTCCTCTTGATGGTCCGTAGTGTGTGCCGCCGCTTGGGGGAATTCCTGCCGTCGGCTGTAGTCACTTTTGAAAGAGGCGGAGTCCAGGTGACGTGTGCTGGATAATGTGGCCGGTTACCTGCGGCTGCCCCCCACCCCACCCCCATCTAGAACGTCCTGTGCTGTGTCCCTATCAGGCAGGACTCCGGCAAATGGAGATGTGTTAATTTGAATTCGCACGTAACTTTTGAAAGTTTTCTTTCTTACTGCCGATCATTATGAATCATCGGTGTGGAATTCTCCTCCTCGGCGGAGTTCGGAAGGAGAGGGGCGCCTCGCGATGACCCACGCGACGGGCGTCTCGTCCCGTGACTCATGCGGCGTCTCTCGCGCCCGAACCGTGCAGCTGAGAGCGAGCGAATGCTGTGTGAAGGCAGCTGTTTGGACGGCAAGCCTAGGCAGGGGGGCGGGTGGGGGGGATCAGGGGACCGCGCTTTCCCCTTTTATAAAACAAAAGGAGGATTTCATCACTGCTCCCAGAACCTTGTTTACGGCCAGGAAACCCGTGGGTGGGGTGGTCGATTCTCTTGTGTTTCCATTGGCTGCAGATGGGCCTGGAGAATTGGGGGGGTGGTGGTTGCAAACCCCTCTGTATTGATTGAATTCATTGGAGGGGGAGGGAAGGAATGCGGATGGGGACCGGGGGAGGGTGGGCAAGCGGCCACGGCGACCTCGCCTCCAGCCGTGGGGCTCTCGGTGATTGGAGTGATGGACAGGCCCCAGGGCGGGGGGCTCCCAGAGGCCTGTGGGGAGGGGGGGAGCGGCCCAGGCACGCGGGCCCGGCTCCCCGAGCAGACCGGTAATGCATCAGATGCTCCTGTAGCCGCGGGGAGGCGATGTCTGCAGGGACCGGGCTTGGGATCAGTGGTCTGGGCGCATGCGATTACGGCATGCGGGAGTACGGCTGATCTGGGTGAAATCTGCCCGGTGCAGATACTCCACCCCCACTCCATTCCCATTACTCTCCCCAGTAAACTGTCTGAGATCATCAAACAGCAGCGTCTCCGAGACATCGTAATGTATAACTATATAATATATAGTCTGTTCTATAATTTTAGAAGAGAAGCTGAAATGCATTGCCTTTACTGATCCTTGGGAAATACCATAGTTTACTTCTAGGGCTGCAACTATTGAATATTTTCACATTCGAATATTAAAGTCTTTGCACAACCCGTCCGCCACGATGTTCCCACACCTCGGGTGCTCTGGAGCAGTGCGAGGAGGGCTGTCGTGACTCGTCAATGTCATTTTTTGCGTGTTTTACTTGCGAGGAGAGTCATACTGTTGCGGTACAGTTCAATCAATATTGAAATTTTGACTTTGATGCCAACTTCACTGCCTCAGTATCAATACCAACTTGATACTGTAAAACATGGCAGCTTGAATATCTTTGAAATAACCAGACCTACTTATGAATTAAACTGACGGCAATAGCAATATTTCCATACTTCCTTCTGTCTGGTATCCACTGTGGTGGTGTAATACACACGCAGACTGACACACACGCAGACTGACACACACGCAGACTGACACACACGCAGACTGACACACACGCAGACTGACACACACGCAGACTGACACACACGCACGCGGCCGCTATTCGCGTTCTTGGACCCCGTGGCTCTGGGATCACAGACCCCCCTCCCGACGTTTGTACCCCCGACATTCAGAGGAGGTCCTCTGGGATTAGCGTCCCATTGGAATGTGACAAGCCGCCCAGCTGGTTCTGTGTTGCGGGACGGACCGGCCCCGTTTGGGCAGTGGCACAGCAGGCAGACACAGACAGGCCCCCGTGCTTTTGGACTGCTGTCTCAAATTTCAAGCACTTTGCTTATAGTCATATTTTTCATTAAATATTAGGCCCCACCGTCCCCCCCCCCCCATTTCCTTTGTTGTCGTCCAGCAAACGCCTTTGTCTCAGGAAACGCTAATTGAAAGCCATGGCCCCCAGTTGATATCCTGGCAGAGGGTGACCAGCCCCCCCTTGGCATGTCTGTATGGCCACGTTCCTCAGCCCCCCTCCCGGCCCGGAGATGTGAATGTGACACTTGCAGAGTTACAGGTGTTCCCTCTGCCTGTCCCTCTGTGTCTGTGTGAATGTCACGCGGTACAGACCTTCTCAGAAGTAAATCATAAAGCGATGGTGTATATTTAGTCTGACTGCACTCTGGTTTGGTGACCGTGACGAAGACGGCCGTGGTCGTCAGTGCTGACCGCCGCTTTTCTCAGTCGACAGCGGCAATGCAAGCCATGACCATCCAGTAGGTGGCGCTATGAGGCAGAGCGGTGAACCATCCCCCAGTCGGCGGACGGCCGTGTGTGTGACTCTCCGCCTATTCGGCCTGCACGCTGGGCGTGGCGTCCGCAGAGGAGCTCCCACCTCGATCGGCCGGGGGGGGGGGGCGTGTTTTTGGTGTGATGCCACACAGCCGGCTGGGTGAAGCCTCCCTCTCGGGGGCACTGGAGACCGCTTTGTGGAACACGCCTGATAAGAATGCTCTGCTGCCCTGTGCTCTGGGGCTGCTGGCACCGTGTCTGTGTCGGCAGCCCTTCCTCCACAGCCATGCGGCCGCATCAATGTTTCATGCTAATGGGCTACGCCTGTCTCCATGCGCCGCGAGCTGGCGGGGGAGGGGGGCAGCCAGTCGCTTCCTGTGATCAGAGCCAGGGGGGGGGCGTGCAGCCAGCTGAAGGAATAATTTGGATGAGGGGGTGCGGTCTGTGGGGCGAATGAGCTTTTCTGGCCGGAAGGCGTATTGGGACGACCACCCCCCAAACCCCCCCATGCCCAGCTGTGCACCCGGTTCGGGGTTTGGCGTCTCTGCTGCGCCTCACGGTCTGTGGCTGCTGTGTCTCCGCCCTGAGCCGGCCTGTACTGGGCCTCTCCCCGCGTGACTAAGCGTCTGCACAGCCTGTGTGACTCAGGGCCGCTGTCGCTCTGCCTGTACAGCCAAGCGTCTGACTACACACTTTCACCCCCCGGCAGGCGATTCAGCCGGCCGCGTAACAGCTCACGTGTGTGTGTGTGTGTGTGTGTGTGTGTGTGTGTGTGTGTGTGTGTGTGCCTGCCAATGAGAAATGAGCCCCAGGCTGAACCCTGCCCCCATGGGGGGGGCCTTACCGCTCCCTAACTGCAGCCCCGCCTGCTCACGGCCATGTTCTACGCTGCCTCCCCCCACAGAGTGAGGACAGCCCGAGCCCCAAGCGACAGCGCCTATCGCAGCAGTCGGTGCTGGAGCGCACGTCGGCCCCACCCTCTACGCCGCCGCCCATGCGGCCCTGGGAGCTGCCCCCCAGCCGCCGCGCCCACCCCTACCCCCACCCGCATCCGCACTACCCCCCTGAGCGCTGCCGCCGCAGGTGAGTGTCCCCGGCGTAGCTGATTGCTGATTATGCCCCCCCCCCTCTGCCCGACTGACGTCCCCTTTCCGCCCCTCGCGCCCGCCAGCCCCCCAGCCAGACGCCAGCGCGGCCGCCGCGAGCGCCTCTCGCGCCACCACCCCCCCCACCACGCCGCCGCGGGGAGCGGCCAAGACGAGAATTTCCGGCACCCGCACCACCCGCCCGCCCCCCACCAGAGCTACACGTACGGCCAGCCGGGGGCGCCGGCGGGCATGGAGGAGCCGCGGGCATTCCACCCGCCCACGCTGTCCCCGCGCCTGCTGCACCCTGCTGCCCACTCCCAGCAGCCCAGCGCCGTGGTGGTCGACCTGCACGACCAGGTAGGGCCCGTCGACTGTGATCGCATGTTAGCGGAGCTCCATGTTGGATTACTGACTCCCCCTCGCCCTCCCCGCAGCTGCAACAGGGCACAGTGCCGGTCTCCTACACCGTGTCTCCAGTGCCCCACCACGGCCTCCCCCCTCCCCTCTGCAACGGGCAGCACCTCCCCACATGCTCCTCCCAGCAACAAGTTGCCTGTGGCTCTGTGGTCTTCAGCGGTCAGCACTACCCCGTCTGCAGCGTCCCCCCGCCCGTGAGTTACACGCCGCCCCCCCCATGCTGGCCTCTCATTGGACTCTGCTGCCCCCTGGTGGTCTCTGATACACTGTCAGCCAGCATGCTGGAAAAACACGGCATGTGGGTGGTATGAGTGGGAAATGGGTTCAGGAACTGGACAAAGAGAGGATCTGTTTCGCAATTGGAGCCGCAGGTTCATTCCTGATGCCTGTTCAGTCAGTCAGCGTAGAGAGATCAACCTCCGGGGATCATTTAGATAAGTAGACATTTAAGTTGGTTGTTAATAAATGTTAAATCAATGCTAAAACTCATATTTAACCAGCAGCTGACCTTTATCACGTTTTTTATGGGAAACTTTCAGCCAGATATTCTGAGATGCGCGTCTCTCCGGGCCCTGCGAGCGGTGAAATAAAATCGAGGAGTATTTGTGCACTTTTCTGGCACGAGTTTAAAAATGTAGCCGCGATCGCGTCTGGCGCCGCACGGCTCGTCGCGTTCACACTCGCCTGACAGGGCGGTATCTTTACTGACCTCCTCACACCTCGTGATCCACACCAGAGGTGTCGCGCTCTTCTCCGTTCTCCCCTTCATCCTGCTTTTCATACTTCCGCCCGAAAAAGCTCCCTTCGCGCACCGCTGATATTTGGTGGCGTGTCAGTCAGAAAGACTCTGTTTTAGAAGGAAGGATTTGGAACAGACGGTCCAGATTTTGCTGCTAATTGGGCTGGTCGCACCAGGGAAATGGACTGGGATGGAGACCAGGAGGCACGCGGCCTACTTAAAACTCTCTGAGAACCACCCCCGCCCCCCATGGCCACGACCCCGGCCTGGCGCTGGGCGTGTGTGGGGGCTGATCTGAGCAGTCAGTCTGACCCCTAGACTGTGGCGGGGGGCCTGAGGCTCAGTGGGTTAAGCCTCTGTGATCAGAAGGCTGCTGGTTTGAATCCCATTCTTGGCCGAATCTTCACGCTGGGCGCTTGAGCAAGGCCCTCCGAAGTGCTCCAGGGGGTGCTTCTCTGTCAAGTGTGTGTGTGTGATTCTTTCAAAGGAGAGCATGATGGGATTTGCGAGAAGAAGCACTGACGTACCTGCAGTCCTGTATGAGCAAATAAAGCGTTTCTCCATTTCCGTTTCAGATGCTGCAGGCTTGCTCGGTGCAGCACCTCCCGCTGCCCTACCCCTTCCCCTCTCTCCTGTCCAGCGAGCCCCCCTTCCTGCTGCATCCGCCCCACCTGTCTCACCACCCGCCCCACCTGCCCCCGCCTGGGCAGTTTGTGCCCTTCCAGGCTCAGCAGTCACGCTCGGTGAGTTGGGGGGGGGGGTCTATTTCAGTGGCTTTCATTTTGAGTATGGGTGACCAGCCCGCCATTGGCTGTGGGGCCCACGTTCGGCGTTCCTGCCGGCGTTCGGCGTTCCTGAAGGTGTTGCGCGACGCTAACCGCATTTTCGCCTTCCCCCAGCCTCTGCAGAGAATCGAGAATGAAGTGGAGCTCCTTGGCGAGCACCTGTCGGTGGGCGGCGGCTTCAGTTACCCCCACTCTGCCCACCCCAGCACCATGCCACCCTCCACCCCGCTGCAGTTCCTCCCCCACGAGCCCCTCCCGCATGAGCTCTTTGGAGTGGTAAGCCCCTGGCTCCCTACCCACAATCCTCTATGCTCAGACTGGGAGGTGACCTTAATCAGTAAGGGTTGGCAGTTTGCTCAGTGCTGCCCTCCCCTGTTCAGGCCGGGTTTCTGCTTAGGGGTGTCTTTCCACATTAGCTGGGGAAACGTGGCTCGTTTGAGCATTGACGTTCACATTGATAGTGGTTTACTTAGTGTAACTGAAGAAGAAAAAACAAAGGACAGTGAAAAGGCTCTCCACTAGGTGGCGCTTGTTTTGCTGTGTTTGATGGTCGGCGGTCCTGGGGGGGCCGCTGCTTCGGAGCAGCACTCTAATTTAGCTCCCCACTGTGTGACAATTGACTGTAAGCACTGTCTCTCCAAGCTGCTAATGATTCCCCCCCCCCCCCCCCCAGCCGTACCCCCACTTCATGCCCCGACGGATCACCAGCCGCCGCTTCCGTTCCCAGCAGGCCGTGCCGCCCCCACCATACCATCCCAACTTCCTGCCGTACTTCCTGTAAGTAACAGTGCCACGGTTTAGCCGCTAATGCTAATACTTACTGATCACCTTCAGTGGGGGGGGGGCGCTCCTCCTTGTGACACGGATGGATGGACGGTTTCAGTCAACGACTCTAATATTGCGGGTTGGATACTTTTTAAAATGTCCAGCTCTGCTTTAAGGTTTAATCCTTAATCTCTGTCCTGCCTGTAACATAAAATTCCCTGTTGTGGGCAGGTCCATGCTTCCCGTACAGCCCACTGTGGGCCCCACCATCAGCCTGGACCTGGATGTGGACGATGGGGAGGTGGAGAACTATGAGGTAGGTTCCTGCCCCCGTTCCCGCGTCCCTCACCCAATCCTCAATTGAGCGGCACAGTGGGCAAGGAGGCCACCTTCAGATGAACATAATTTGGTGATGTTACACTCGCGTCCAGCACTGAAGGCCCCAGTTGTCCTGTTTGCGGAGGGAAGCACTACTCAGAGCTGCTGTCCTGTCCCCCTTCTCCAGGCCCTACTGAACCTAGCGGAGCGGCTGGGGGAGGCCAAGCCCCGGGGGCTGACCAAGGCCGACATCGAGCAGCTGCCCTCCTACCGCTTCAACCCCAACAACCACCAGTCGGAGCAGACTCTGTGAGTGTGGGGGAGGGGCAGCACTGAAGGAGGGGGCGTGCAAGGGTGGGAAGCGAGGTGGCTTTAGAAGGGAGAGGACGGGGGGGGTCCGTGGAACTGAGTCACTGTTGTTCCCCGCAGGTGCGTCGTCTGCATGTGCGACTTCGAGTCCCGGCAGCTGCTGCGCGTCCTGCCCTGCAATCACGAGTTCCACGCCAAGTGCGTCGACAAGTGGCTCAAGGTGAGCGCTGCGGCAGGAGCGAGCCTGATGAAGGGTTAGGGTTAGGGTTAGGGTTATCGCTCTCTGTCTGTCAGTGACACTGCTTTGTCCTTCGCTGACTATCGATCCGGGTTGCATCTGTAACACGTTGGATCTGTTTCCAGCAACATATCCGAATTTGCTATGACTGAGCCAAAAGACGGTCTAGGTCTTATCAACTGCTCTGTCTTAGACGTTGGTGTAATTTATTGGAAACCAACTCATGACCACAATCTGCATAATTCACAACTGTGTGTGTGTGTGTGTGTGTGTGTGTGTGTGTGTGTGTGTGTGTGTGTGTGTGTAGGGCTNACACACGCAGACTGACACACACGCAGACTGACACACACGCAGACTGACACACACGCAGACTGACACACACGCACGCGGCCGCTATTCGCGTTCTTGGACCCCGTGGCTCTGGGATCACAGACCCCCCTCCCGACGTTTGTACCCCCGACATTCAGAGGAGGTCCTCTGGGATTAGCGTCCCATTGGAATGTGACAAGCCGCCCAGCTGGTTCTGTGTTGCGGGACGGACCGGCCCCGTTTGGGCAGTGGCACAGCAGGCAGACACAGACAGGCCCCCGTGCTTTTGGACTGCTGTCTCAAATTTCAAGCACTTTGCTTATAGTCATATTTTTCATTAAATATTAGGCCCCACCGTCCCCCCCCCCCCATTTCCTTTGTTGTCGTCCAGCAAACGCCTTTGTCTCAGGAAACGCTAATTGAAAGCCATGGCCCCCAGTTGATATCCTGGCAGAGGGTGACCAGCCCCCCCTTGGCATGTCTGTATGGCCACGTTCCTCAGCCCCCCTCCCGGCCCGGAGATGTGAATGTGACACTTGCAGAGTTACAGGTGTTCCCTCTGCCTGTCCCTCTGTGTCTGTGTGAATGTCACGCGGTACAGACCTTCTCAGAAGTAAATCATAAAGCGATGGTGTATATTTAGTCTGACTGCACTCTGGTTTGGTGACCGTGACGAAGACGGCCGTGGTCGTCAGTGCTGACCGCCGCTTTTCTCAGTCGACAGCGGCAATGCAAGCCATGACCATCCAGTAGGTGGCGCTATGAGGCAGAGCGGTGAACCATCCCCCAGTCGGCGGACGGCCGTGTGTGTGACTCTCCGCCTATTCGGCCTGCACGCTGGGCGTGGCGTCCGCAGAGGAGCTCCCACCTCGATCGGCCGGGGGGGGGGTCGTGTTTTTGGTGTGATGCCACACAGCCGGCTGGGTGAAGCCTCCCTCTCGGGGGCACTGGAGACCGCTTTGTGGAACACGCCTGATAAGAATGCTCTGCTGCCCTGTGCTCTGGGGCTGCTGGCACCGTGTCTGTGTCGGCAGCCCTTCCTCCACAGCCATGCGGCCGCATCAATGTTTCATGCTAATGGGCTACGCCTGTCTCCATGCGCCGCGAGCTGGCGGGGGAGGGGGGCAGCCAGTCGCTTCCTGTGATCAGAGCCAGGGGGGGGGCGTGCAGCCAGCTGAAGGAATAATTTGGATGAGGGGGTGCGGTCTGTGGGGCGAATGAGCTTTTCTGGCCGGAAGGCGTATTGGGACGACCACCCCCCAAACCCCCCCATGCCCAGCTGTGCACCCGGTTCGGGGTTTGGCGTCTCTGCTGCGCCTCACGGTCTGTGGCTGCTGTGTCTCCGCCCTGAGCCGGCCTGTACTGGGCCTCTCCCCGCGTGACTAAGCGTCTGCACAGCCTGTGTGACTCAGGGCCGCTGTCGCTCTGCCTGTACAGCCAAGCGTCTGACTACACACTTTCACCCCCCGGCAGGCGATTCAGCCGGCCGCGTAACAGCTCACGTGTGTGTGTGTGTGTGTGTGTGTGTGTGTGTGTGTGTGTGTGTGTGTGCCTGCCAATGAGAAATGAGCCCCAGGCTGAACCCTGCCCCCATGGGGGGGGCCTTACCGCTCCCTAACTGCAGCCCCGCCTGCTCACGGCCATGTTCTACGCTGCCTCCCCCCACAGAGTGAGGACAGCCCGAGCCCCAAGCGACAGCGCCTATCGCAGCAGTCGGTGCTGGAGCGCACGTCGGCCCCACCCTCTACGCCGCCGCCCATGCGGCCCTGGGAGCTGCCCCCCAGCCGCCGCGCCCACCCCTACCCCCACCCGCATCCGCACTACCCCCCTGAGCGCTGCCGCCGCAGGTGAGTGTCCCCGGCGTAGCTGATTGCTGATTATGCCCCCCCCCCTCTGCCCGACTGACGTCCCCTTTCCGCCCCTCGCGCCCGCCAGCCCCCCAGCCAGACGCCAGCGCGGCCGCCGCGAGCGCCTCTCGCGCCACCACCCCCCCCACCACGCCGCCGCGGGGAGCGGCCAAGACGAGAATTTCCGGCACCCGCACCACCCGCCCGCCCCCCACCAGAGCTACACGTACGGCCAGCCGGGGGCGCCGGCGGGCATGGAGGAGCCGCGGGCATTCCACCCGCCCACGCTGTCCCCGCGCCTGCTGCACCCTGCTGCCCACTCCCAGCAGCCCAGCGCCGTGGTGGTCGACCTGCACGACCAGGTAGGGCCCGTCGACTGTGATCGCATGTTAGCGGAGCTCCATGTTGGATTACTGACTCCCCCTCGCCCTCCCCGCAGCTGCAACAGGGCACAGTGCCGGTCTCCTACACCGTGTCTCCAGTGCCCCACCACGGCCTCCCCCCTCCCCTCTGCAACGGGCAGCACCTCCCCACATGCTCCTCCCAGCAACAAGTTGCCTGTGGCTCTGTGGTCTTCAGCGGTCAGCACTACCCCGTCTGCAGCGTCCCCCCGCCCGTGAGTTACACGCCGCCCCCCCCATGCTGGCCTCTCATTGGACTCTGCTGCCCCCTGGTGGTCTCTGATACACTGTCAGCCAGCATGCTGGAAAAACACGGCATGTGGGTGGTATGAGTGGGAAATGGGTTCAGGAACTGGACAAAGAGAGGATCTGTTTCGCAATTGGAGCCGCAGGTTCATTCCTGATGCCTGTTCAGTCAGTCAGCGTAGAGAGATCAACCTCCGGGGATCATTTAGATAAGTAGACATTTAAGTTGGTTGTTAATAAATGTTAAATCAATGCTAAAACTCATATTTAACCAGCAGCTGACCTTTATCACGTTTTTTATGGGAAACTTTCAGCCAGATATTCTGAGATGCGCGTCTCTCCGGGCCCTGCGAGCGGTGAAATAAAATCGAGGAGTATTTGTGCACTTTTCTGGCACGAGTTTAAAAATGTAGCCGCGATCGCGTCTGGCGCCGCACGGCTCGTCGCGTTCACACTCGCCTGACAGGGCGGTATCTTTACTGACCTCCTCACACCTCGTGATCCACACCAGAGGTGTCGCGCTCTTCTCCGTTCTCCCCTTCATCCTGCTTTTCATACTTCCGCCCGAAAAAGCTCCCTTCGCGCACCGCTGATATTTGGTGGCGTGTCAGTCAGAAAGACTCTGTTTTAGAAGGAAGGATTTGGAACAGACGGTCCAGATTTTGCTGCTAATTGGGCTGGTCGCACCAGGGAAATGGACTGGGATGGAGACCAGGAGGCACGCGGCCTACTTAAAACTCTCTGAGAACCACCCCCGCCCCCCATGGCCACGACCCCGGCCTGGCGCTGGGCGTGTGTGGGGGCTGATCTGAGCAGTCAGTCTGACCCCTAGACTGTGGCGGGTGGCCTGAGGCTCAGTGGGTTAAGCCTCTGTGATCAGAAGGCTGCTGGTTTGAATCCCATTCTTGGCCGAATCTTCACGCTGGGCGCTTGAGCAAGGCCCTCCGAAGTGCTCCAGGGGGTGCTTCTCTGTCAAGTGTGTGTGTGTGATTCTTTCAAAGGAGAGCATGATGGGATTTGCGAGAAGAAGCACTGACGTACCTGCAGTCCTGTATGAGCAAATAAAGCGTTTCTCCATTTCCGTTTCAGATGCTGCAGGCTTGCTCGGTGCAGCACCTCCCGCTGCCCTACCCCTTCCCCTCTCTCCTGTCCAGCGAGCCCCCCTTCCTGCTGCATCCGCCCCACCTGTCTCACCACCCGCCCCACCTGCCCCCGCCTGGGCAGTTTGTGCCCTTCCAGGCTCAGCAGTCACGCTCGGTGAGTTGGGGGGGGGGGTCTATTTCAGTGGCTTTCATTTTGAGTATGGGTGACCAGCCCGCCATTGGCTGTGGGGCCCACGTTCGGCGTTCCTGCCGGCGTTCGGCGTTCCTGAAGGTGTTGCGCGACGCTAACCGCATTTTCGCCTTCCCCCAGCCTCTGCAGAGAATCGAGAATGAAGTGGAGCTCCTTGGCGAGCACCTGTCGGTGGGCGGCGGCTTCAGTTACCCCCACTCTGCCCACCCCAGCACCATGCCACCCTCCACCCCGCTGCAGTTCCTCCCCCACGAGCCCCTCCCGCATGAGCTCTTTGGAGTGGTAAGCCCCTGGCTCCCTACCCACAATCCTCTATGCTCAGACTGGGAGGTGACCTTAATCAGTAAGGGTTGGCAGTTTGCTCAGTGCTGCCCTCCCCTGTTCAGGCCGGGTTTCTGCTTAGGGGTGTCTTTCCACATTAGCTGGGGAAACGTGGCTCGTTTGAGCATTGACGTTCACATTGATAGTGGTTTACTTAGTGTAACTGAAGAAGAAAAAACAAAGGACAGTGAAAAGGCTCTCCACTAGGTGGCGCTTGTTTTGCTGTGTTTGATGGTCGGCGGTCCTGGGGGGGCCGCTGCTTCGGAGCAGCACTCTAATTTAGCTCCCCACTGTGTGACAATTGACTGTAAGCACTGTCTCTCCAAGCTGCTAATGATTCCCCCCCCCCCCCCCCCAGCCGTACCCCCACTTCATGCCCCGACGGATCACCAGCCGCCGCTTCCGTTCCCAGCAGGCCGTGCCGCCCCCACCATACCATCCCAACTTCCTGCCGTACTTCCTGTAAGTAACAGTGCCACGGTTTAGCCGCTAATGCTAATACTTACTGATCACCTTCAGTGGGGGGGGGGCGCTCCTCCTTGTGACACGGATGGATGGACGGTTTCAGTCAACGACTCTAATATTGCGGGTTGGATACTTTTTAAAATGTCCAGCTCTGCTTTAAGGTTTAATCCTTAATCTCTGTCCTGCCTGTAACATAAAATTCCCTGTTGTGGGCAGGTCCATGCTTCCCGTACAGCCCACTGTGGGCCCCACCATCAGCCTGGACCTGGATGTGGACGATGGGGAGGTGGAGAACTATGAGGTAGGTTCCTGCCCCCGTTCCCGCGTCCCTCACCCAATCCTCAATTGAGCGGCACAGTGGGCAAGGAGGCCACCTTCAGATGAACATAATTTGGTGATGTTACACTCGCGTCCAGCACTGAAGGCCCCAGTTGTCCTGTTTGCGGAGGGAAGCACTACTCAGAGCTGCTGTCCTGTCCCCCTTCTCCAGGCCCTACTGAACCTAGCGGAGCGGCTGGGGGAGGCCAAGCCCCGGGGGCTGACCAAGGCCGACATCGAGCAGCTGCCCTCCTACCGCTTCAACCCCAACAACCACCAGTCGGAGCAGACTCTGTGAGTGTGGGGGAGGGGCAGCACTGAAGGAGGGGGCGTGCAAGGGTGGGAAGCGAGGTGGCTTTAGAAGGGAGAGGACGGGGGGGGTCCGTGGAACTGAGTCACTGTTGTTCCCCGCAGGTGCGTCGTCTGCATGTGCGACTTCGAGTCCCGGCAGCTGCTGCGCGTCCTGCCCTGCAATCACGAGTTCCACGCCAAGTGCGTCGACAAGTGGCTCAAGGTGAGCGCTGCGGCAGGAGCGAGCCTGATGAAGGGTTAGGGTTAGGGTTAGGGTTATCGCTCTCTGTCTGTCAGTGACACTGCTTTGTCCTTCGCTGACTATCGATCCGGGTTGCATCTGTAACACGTTGGATCTGTTTCCAGCAACATATCCGAATTTGCTATGACTGAGCCAAAAGACGGTCTAGGTCTTATCAACTGCTCTGTCTTAGACGTTGGTGTAATTTATTGGAAACCAACTCATGACCACAATCTGCATAATTCACAACTGTGTGTGTGTGTGTGTGTGTGTGTGTGTGTGTGTGTGTGTGTGTGTGTGTGTAGGGCTGTGGTTTCATTGGGCTCTGTCTCTGTTGTTTGACCGGTTCCCCCCTCTCCACCAACCCCAGGCTAACAGAACGTGTCCCATCTGCCGGGCAGATGCGTCTGAGGTCCAGAGGGACTCGGAGTGACCACAAGGCGCGGCAAGCTCAGCACCAACCTGCCCCAGCATCCATGTGTATATAAATTCCCACACCCCTCGTCACTCCTAACCTTCATGGACGCACCCCCCCCCCCTCAATTCCACTGACTTACACACATAAGCATCCAGTGGGTAGATTTTCTTTGCACTGTATTTGTTTTGAGTTTTACATATAATATTCAGTTGACCTGCAGACAACTAACCAAGCGAGAATCTTCAGATTTCTTTGCATAAACTGTGTGATCAGAACTTGAGAGCGTTTGGGTCATTTTTGCATTTGTTACGGTCTAGATCTCTCCCGCCTTGCTGTGTGCACGCCGACGACCCGGCACACTCGGCTATATTCGCCTTTTCGATCTGCTTTCCATAGTCTGAGCGTCGTACACTGTTGCAAGGGAATGTGATCCCGCATTTTGAGGAAAGAGCGGAGCCCTATCGAAAGCAGCCGTCTGTCGTCTTGTCATGGCGCAGCGGCAAGATCAGTGCCCCCCCTGTAGTTCCCGTCTAGTGTAACGTGCTACGCAGCTTAGCGGTTCCTAGGAGCTGGAGTTATCAGGAATACTGTGTGATATTTTGTTTGTAACATGGGCACATGCGACATGGTGATTGTAGTGCAGTCCACTGGTTCCTGCTTCCTGTTAAGATGGAGACTTTGGGCCGGACTTGGGAGCCCGTGTATGTGTCCGCCACACTGCTTCGATCTCTAATCCATTTTTGTCCCGCTGCCTTGGCCCAGTCCACCTGGGAGAGCTTCTGTCAAGCTCTTCCTCCAATTTTGAGTCTGCTGTTCTGACTCTCATCTGCACAGTGGTTTTTGATTTCGTCGACTGAGGCTAAGCTAGAGTGTCGGACGCCAGCTTGGGGAGGGCGATCAGTTCTCGGAAAAGCTGTCAAATGACGGTTTGGGGCCCGAGTTTTCACTTGAGGGAGTCCCAAGTAAGACATGCACAGCATCACAGAAACAAGATGGCCGCTGCCTCTCGTCACTGCCAAAGTCAAGCGGGAATCATGAAGAAGTCATTCACGGTTGAGTGGTATCATGTATCTCCGGTCATGTTTAGACAAAGGCACATAACGGGTGAGGCTCAGCCTTGTCAACACGTATAACAAACGTTTGCCGTGGAAAAGGGAAGTTCACCTTCTAATGTCAGTCAGACACCCCGGGCCTGAACCGTGAGGTCTGCCTGTTGGGACTCGCTCTCCGGAGTGCGATTGGAACTCGGGGCACACCACATCACGAGCACGGGTGGAGCGTTTGCCATCATAAGATGACCATCTGCCGTTCCCAATGTTTCAAATGTTTGTTTAGCTGTTTGTTTGTTTCACGAGTGCGGCCACTCAACTTCCAACCTAGACCAGTGTTCATCAGCCTGGTTCTCTGCTACCCCCAGACAGTCCACATTTTTGCTCCTTAGCATGAGCTGGGAGGGAACAAAAACATGGACTGTCTGTGGGTCCCTGAGGTCTGGGTTGAGAAACACTGACATTGACCCATTACCCCTTAACTACCCCACACTTTTCCTCTGCCCTATTTTTCGTTCCGTTAGTCCCTATTCACCTGCCCTGGATCAGTCTTCTCCCTCAGTGTCTTTAGTTTAAACTAATCTCCAATAGCAGCCTGCAGTGTCTTATTACGGATGCCTTTTTGAGCTCACGTTAGCATCGGTTACTGTGGTAATAGGAAATATACCATTCCTATCCCGACACTGAACCTTTAGGTGCCCCGGGTGTTACCTTGTCGTCGTAAATGTTTTGTTTTTATTGATTTTTTTTTTTCCCTGCTTGGTACACTTGCAGTTACCTCATTTTTACTATTTATATTTTCAGAATTTGCTACCAGTATCAGCTTTTTTTTTTTTTTTTCTTTTCTGGTTTCGTCCCTTAAAATACACGACTGTATCATTTAACATGCTGTTGTAGTTTCATATATGTATTATATCTGTAACCAAAATAATTTGAAGGCTTGATATAAATCTTTTTAACAAACATTTGTACATTTTTTATGAGAGTTATTACTAGTAATGCTTTACTAAGTAGTGCAATGAATTTTTATTTTTAATCCCTGTGCCCAATTTTTTGGATTTGAGAGGATGGTTCAATAAATGTATAATGTACACTTCGAATGACTCTTCCCTGTCTCTTCCTCTCCCTGGTGTTCAGATGCAGGTCATAGGCATGTTTTGAACTGTCAGGGGTGGAAATGTCTATTAGCATTGAAGCAGTTTGGCCCTCAGTGCCTCTGTTAGAACACCAGAGTGGCATTTATTTAAAAGGATCTTTTAAATAGCTTTGCGGTGTATTTGCCGACCCTCCGCCGCTGTGCGGCCTGCTTGACGTTAACGTTCTCTGCCATGGTGCGGCCTGCTTGACGTTAACGTTCTCTGCCGTTGTGCGGCCTGCTTGACGTTAACGTNCTGCTTGACGTTAACGTTCTCTGCCATGGTGCGGCCTGCTTGACGTTAACGTTCTCTGCCGTTGTGCGGCCTGCTTGACGTTAACGTTCTCTGCCGTTGTGCGGCCTGCTTGACGTTAACGTTCTCTGCCGTTGTACGGCCTGCTTGACGTTAACGTTCTCCGCTGCTGTGCGGCCTGCTTGACGTCTAATGTTCTCCTCCGCCTTCCCTGCTAAAGGTCATGGGATGTTTGCCAAAGAAGTTGCCCCGATCTGTCATTAAAAATTACTGATCCACGATGGGGACTGACGTCAGCTGCTTGCCGGTATTTCCCGATGTCTGTTCTGCTTTTCGGTTTCTAGCCTAGTTAAGTTTGTCTTTTGGACAAAGCGATATCAGATACACCAGGAGACTAAAGAAGCCCGAATTCAAAGGTGACACGACCTGAAAACGCTAAATTGAAAGCCACTGCTCGTGTTAATGTGTAAGGAAAAGCCAAACTATATGCTGATCTATAAACTACTTTGTACTTTGGCTCTAGCTGAATATACTGCCATTAATGAATATGGATTCCCTGTGGGCAAGCTGGGTGCTTAAGAGGCTAAATTGATGTTGAGGAACAACTGAATGCTTTTGAATCACTCCTGTATCTCTAGTGTCCTTCAATCCTCATTAAAAACGACTAACTCCTTTGTCTTCCAGTCTAAGGCCCTTGAACAACGACCGATTCGAAAGCTTCTGTTGCTTCTGCTGCTTCTGCAATCCCTAGTTTTCCTTCAGGCGTAACCATGAACTAGGTCCTAGCCCTGGATCAATTGCAAATGTTGGAGCGATGCTTGCTTTGTTCCGAGGTGCTTCATAGGGCGTCAACCCGGACAAAAATAGTCTAGTACACCGGCTGAATGGATCAGTGCAGCTGCAATACGTTTGCGGAATGTGCAGCTGCTTATGGCTGATATTCACAGTAAAAATGACTTTGTTCACTCCAAAAGGAAGGCAGGCAGGGTCCATCTATCTCAAAGCATCTCATTAGCAAGCATGCTTGAATATATTCATGCATGTCGCAATCTGTTGTTTTTTTTTTTTTTTTAAAAAAAGAAAAAAACTGTGCTAGATAACCGCATTTTGTGAAAATCATTCATACCTCCTACACAAGGAATGACTTTTCCTAAAAAGTAAAAGCATGCGCAACCTCCAGATAATGCAATCCGCAATAGTTTTTTTATGTTATGTAATAGGTACAAAACTATGGACGTGTCGCAATAGTAACATTGTGTTCAGCTGAGATCACCTTTGACAGACGTCAGCTGTGACTGTTGAGGTATTGAGGCCCTATCGTTCTGCCTGATATCGTTTGTACTTCCTGCCGTTTTTGAGCCATTGCCTTGGGGTGTTTGATGTCCCCCTCAGAATTTAATCCTCTCCGCTTCCTCTGCAGTCTACGCCTTCATCACCCGTGGTCATTTCGCCGAAGCCGTTCAGACGAGGTGCATTGAATTGAACCCGTCGTCTCCAAACGGTTATTCTCCAAATCTGTGGCCATGACGCCCCCCCACCCCTCCCCGCACGGCTGCCACCCGGATGGCAAAACTGGTTTTCCCTGTCACCCCACCTCCCATCGTAAGTGTTCCGCTTAATGTGTAACTTGAACATTCAGCGGAGCCTTCACCAGCCCTTCGGTGACTGACTGCTGCGTCAGAGTCCAAATCGCCCAAGTTTACGGCCGATCTGCTCAGCTATTGGCAGCTGCTATTGGCTCGAGGGCTGGGATGACATTTTGTCATGCTTTTGTTTTCTACATCAAACAGCTCAAATAGCTCCATCCTTATGTTGCCGGCTCATGGCTAAGTCCTCTTAATGGGAATTCCGCTTTGACACGATCACGTTTTATGTACCTTCTGAAAACACGAGTCTCTCACAGAGCATACGTTCAGTTTTGCTTCAGTGTCGTCTCTCCTGCCGAAAGACACACGTCTATCCACATAGAATCTGCCCTGTTTCTGGTTTATAATCCTCTCTGCTGATCTGTCAGCTTGTGTTTTGTGTCTGACTGAGCTTTTGGTGCTGGCGTGGGCTTCCTGCCTGCGATCCACCCCCCCACCACCAAACAAACTGCTTAAGGGATGGATCAGATCCCGTAGCTACAACAATACCGATCGTTTCATCGTGGGTCAAGTCACGACACAAATCAGTCAGTGTCCCACCCACTCTCCCCACCCCCGACATTTTCAACATGTTAATGAAAGGGAACTACAAACATTATATAATACAAATAGACACCAAAACAAAAACAAAAAAACAAAGGAAGTTTAAAAATCGGGGCTTATCAACGGGGAAATACCGAAGTGTTTCGGCGTGACGTGATTTAGCGCCCACCTGCGCAGACCGCCCTAGGAAAACCACAGTGGCAGCGCGAGGGAGCCGGATGTTTTGTTTTCTGCCTGCAGATGTCAGCAGCGACGCGCGTATTCCCTATAATTAAAGCTCGCGGCTTAGGATGGAAGGACGTGCCGCAGGTACCATGGTGATTGGATCGTAAACATATTCATCAGCAAGGCATTTTTGAATCATGCATATATTCTTCAGGGATGTGTTGCACGGCAATAATAATACTGACGTTATTATTTATTATGCGCGCAAGATTGCAAGGGATTGTTTTGGATTAAGACTCATAACAGGGGACCAAGAGCTTTAATAAAACCCAAGGTGTACTTCCGTCTAACACCGCTTTACCTGTTGAAACGTAGCGCCCCCCTGTGGAAGATGATAGAAATCCAAAACAAATTTGTTATATTTTTTTCTTAGACATATTTAAAGGTGCAGTACGATGGTTCAGTTAGTAACACTGTAACGTAACTGGGGATTTTGCAGAAGTGTCTCAGTATGTGTGTCTCCATAGCTCGGGAAAAGAATGTTAGTGCCATTTGTATTTCCATAATCCTGAATTAGTGACCATCTTCAACAAAAATAAAATAACTTTGGGACTAATTTCATTTTGTCAAAAATATCTAAACCGCACTTCAGACTTGTTTTCCTGTCGGGATAAACACTTAAATGTGTGTTTAATCCAGTTGCCATCACCAATCACCAGGCAGCGTTAGAGTCGCTGGTTCATGCCTTGCTTCTAGGAACTTGTGACAAATACTACATGTGAGTATGGGTGCAGTGTTGGATGTTGTGGGCTTTGAGGACCCTGGCCTATGAGCTCAATTAAAACCAGCATCTTGCATTAAACAAATGAGAATGAGTAACGTACAGCCGCGTGCCAAGCACAAGGGAGAAAGAGCCAATTATAGAACAAGATAATACTATGAATTAAAAATCACTGGCAGTGTGACGGTATTAATGTCATTTGTGTTTGCTGTTTGTGTTTATCAGGCATTCGACATATGAACGAGCATTGAGAATGCGGAGGAGGAATTCATGCAGATCTAGCTGATGACGACCAATGTGGGGAGGAGAGCTGTAGGCAGGGCTGTGGATATGCACTCTTGGGGGGGTTAAGCTACGGCAAGACCTCTACACTGAGCAGCTTGAGGCAGGGCCTGAGTTGTATTGTGCTCTGGGAGTTTGTGGTGACATTTTAATTGGGGTCATATTGGATTTAAGTCAAACGGGTTAGAGATGCAGATCGGTGAGTTTGCGCGGTAATTAAGAGGCGCTCGTCTCTCAAGGCGCTTGTCTTCCAAGCACTGCTGAAAAGCACAGCCTTTGTCATATTCTGGGACTCTCAGAGAAGCCTGACAGTTACAGACAATTACTGACAAACAAGAAATCATTTGGTATTGGCAACGATTCAAGGATGCACACGAAAATGGCAGTGAGCGCACTCTGCAGTTTACAAAGGTAATGAAACATTTTTTCCCTTCTTTCACCAAACTCCCCCTGGAACTAAGCTTAATTTATCTGTGAGGCTTTAAACCATCATGATGCCATATAAACACCTTCATAAATGGCCGCTGCTGTCAGACAGCCTCCTGGATGAAGGTGATAAAGACCCAGGGTATCCATGTTCGTATATCTGCACTTGGGACGGAGCCGTTTCCCCTGGGTTGGGTGTGTTAAGGTATTGCGTTGGTGTCGCCTCCTGCTGGCTAACGAGAGCAGTGCTCGGGCTCCAGTGGCTGCTGGTCCCACTCGGTCTCTCTGCAGCATAAACACCTGTGATTGGACTGTCCCATGGGCTTCTTGGCCCTGATTGGCTGCACATGACTGAGTTTGGCTGTCGAGACATGGAAACATTTACAGCTGCAAACACAGACTTTTACAATCCATTTTCCAATCTGGGTAGTGGTCTAACAAAATGTATTTAAAAGTGTTAAATGTCCTAGCAACTAATGAAACAGTTGTTTTATATTCATATGAAAGACAACAACTCTTCATCAGATTTCAGTCTTATTTTAATGGTCTACAATTGTATGTCATTTTCACTTAGACCTCGAAATAAGATCCAGACTTGTTATTCTCTGTGAGACCCTGGTGTTGACATCCTAACCACCAGTGAGGGGGAGATGGTGCAGAAAACATTGCCTAGAATAAAGAAATGTCGACTCAAACTTCCCACAATGGGCAGATTTCAAAAGTTCATCCGGTAAAAATAGGGTGTAAAGACAATGCATCTTTTCTGTATGCCTGAATGAAAAATAAAGTAACATTTTATTAAAACTCCACCATATTTCTATTTTGACGTAAATTGTATATGTAAACCAGTGGTTCCTATATTATGTGGTATGCAGGGTCCTCTTTATGTAGTTAAACCTCAGTTATAGCGGTGGTACATGCCATCGCAGCCCCCGGGGTCGAGAGCCCAATACTTTCCGAGGTGATTAAAAAGTTTGAAACCCCTGTCCTAAACGAAGGACATCAGATGCCTGCTTAAACATGTCAGATCTGGCTGTGGCATTGATCTTCCTTTCTGCAGCAAAAAGCGCATGCATGAAATATTGACTTGATCTTAACCCAGTCCTTTGATGTGATAATTGGATGACAGACATGGCTGCAACTGCAACAGACTTTGTTCTCGCGCTTCCTTTGTTGAGCCCGTTCTCTTTCTTCAGTGTGGAGCTATCAGAGATACAGAGAGATTACGAATGCCCATGCATCACAGTCGGTGTCTCAAAACGCTAACATGGATTGAATATTAACAATATGCTGGTCTGAAGTGTAGAGAGGGACGTGTAACGTGCATTAAGGGCTAATGGAATACGAAATGACCGCCTGAAACTTCAAATCAAATCACACGGAAGATCATTTGCAACAACAAAGCCAGTAACCCAGCCTTCCAGGGGCACGTTACAGCGCTGTGCCATAACAAATGTGCCGTGACCTGCTCGTGCTAACAGAAGTCGGTGCTGGAAATATAAGAATGATATAATGTGCAGACCAATAGATGGATATTGTTCCAAAATGGATTTTATAAGTGAGCCAGTAAGGGTGGTATTTGACCCATAATGCTGCTGTGAATCTGTAATCTATAATATATTATATGCCTTCCTGTCTAAGTGAATTGTTCCCTGATATTTACATTTATTTAACCAAAATGACAGATAACTGACAAAATAGGGTCAGCCATGCTTCAGTACCTGGGGAGTCTGCTGAGTCGCATGGGTAGGGGGGGGGGGGTCACTGAGAGGCCTTGGTTTGCTGGCCGAACATGGAGATGGGTCCTGTCCATTAACGGCTGTGAAAGCCAGCAGCAATGACTTGAGCTTCAGAGAATTTCAGCTGATTGAATACCAGACGTGCTGCCACGTCTTGAATCAGCTGTTTAACCTCACAATAGAGCTGCAGTAGTCTATTCATGAGATAGCAGGTTCCACTAAGTTTGAACTCAGATCACTGGATTCAGAATGCTAGCCGTTACACTGGGGAACCAGGAGACACATTGTTGTACACTGCTGGAACCAAAGAGCAAACCAGGGGCCTTAAATCTTCACCCTAACCCCCTCCCAACTGAGCTATTCCTGCACAAAGGAATTATAGCCTGAACAGGAACTTGAATCCTGGAATTCCAGATTAGAAACCCGATGCTTTACCAACTGACCTCAGGCTTTTATCTTGACTGTACAGTTGTATCTCACTTCTGGGCTACATTGTAACGCCCAAGTGGTACAGAAGATGATACGATGGATGAGAAAATAAATAGCATACTAAATCAAAGTAATACAAATTTTGTAATTTGACCAAGATGATTGTTGATTCCAATAGTTTGTTTAAACTTTATTGATTTTTCACAAGGCAGATAGACAGCATAAGAATGTACCACATTTAATAATAAAAAGAATTTGTAAGCAGTACAAGAGAGATGAGGAACCGTTACGCTAGAATACAGTCAATATACTAGCATTCACTTCATTAAGCGTAATACTCTCTCTGAATGTGTGAAAGTGAGAATTACATTTGCGTATGATATTGATTTAGGTGTCTTAAGAAAAAACACACAAAAAATCTACTTCAAGGCTTTGAAACATCATTTCATGTATAAACGGGGGTAAGTAAACCTATTAAATCCTCTTGGGTTGTTTATGTAAACTGTAATCTTATAGAAATCACTCTGTTATGTACCTTTCGGGCCTTAATTAAAATTTAGTGAGATGTCAGCCCGCACTTCCCAAATTCTGTTTCTTGACCTGACCACCAGAGGGAGTCAGAGAACAACATCAGCTTTTCATATTAAAGCTCCTTCTCTTGTGAGTGCATTATCTAATCATTATTGAGGGGGCGCACCTGTGTCTAATTGACTTTCCTAATTGGGTCCGGCATTGGTCGACACTTACTGCTTTCTCTTAAAGCTGTCTGCCTCTATGTTTCCGCTTATGTCTCCCCTCTTAGTGGACCTTGATTTTGCATCTCATTAGGATTATATTCTGTTACTGGGTTCTCTGGTAACACGGACAGAGATTTATCTGCGGTTTTTGGGACACGTTCGGAACCATTTAGGTCTGTAACCCCCCCCCCCCCCCCCCCCCCCCCCCCCCACATCCATCCAGAAAAAAAGTGTCTCGCCACCTGGCCCTGTGAAGGCTGCATGGCTGAACATGCAAACACCCGTTGGACCCAGCTACTGTCCTGTGTCTTCATGAATACATAATCGGAGCCACAGTTCCAAGCCATCACATCGCGTCGTTAAAGCCATTTGCTGTCTGCTGAGTTTGTTCCACAACATACATCCCTCAGCATAAATTTAGTGGCCGAAAGCTGCAGAGATCCTTTCAGCCTGTGGCCTGTTCGTTAATCACCTGCAGCAATCCAGCTGTCAGTGTCTTTAAGCAAGGAGTCCGACTCATCCCCGGCAATTTATGCCACCGAGATCCTAAGGCTGAAGTAGGTTTATCGCATTTATCGCAATTTTATGTGTGTTACTCAGAATGGGAATGGAGTGTGATAGATGGACGGCACCATTACCCACAAGGGATGTGCGGGCACTGGTCCTGGAAGCTTGAATTACAGGCTTAGGGGGAACACATTTCATCCCAATCAATCGATCAATTGATAAATCAATAAACGTATCAATCAATCAGTCAAAAAAAATAAATAACGCAAGCGCTGTTTAAAAACACCTGTGATCTGTTGGTATAGCAAAGGCCAGTTAGATTTACAAATCGACCCAGACAGAATCCTACAAGAAACCAGTAGGAGTGAAAACTCAGCTTGGGTTGAATTGCAATCCTGCAGCTGTGAGACAACCTCACTAACTGTCTAATTCTGTTTTATTCTTCGTTTCCAGCAGAACGTGCCTTTGAGTCTGATCCCTCCCAAGGTTTCTTCCTTCTTGGGAGTTTTTCCTTGCCACTGTTTTACTCACTGGGGGCTTTGGGTGGGGATGCTGTAAAGCGCTTTGACATAATGTAATGTCGTGATAATGCGCTATACAAAAATAAATTTGTTTGTTGTTGTTGTTCTTTTGCCAGTGCCTAAACCCAGGTCAGATTCAAGTACAACCACCATTTTTTAATATATTATGCAAACAAACATGAATATAGATTGAGGGACGTCTTTGATTATGTCCTTTCTAAAAGAATCTCAAATCTGAGAAACAAACCAGAATGGGTGTAGCAGGAGATGGTCAAGAAATACCTGTATGGTCAAGAAATACTTGTATGGTCAAGAAATACCTGTATGGGTTCACAGTGAGCTGAAAATATATCCCAGGCACCACTAAGACACGGTGGGATGTGATGGGATGAACATCCATTACCGGGCAAACGCCTGCATGGCCTCTCACTATGACACCAATTTGTTGTGTAAAAATACTCGGAGGAAACTTGTTTTGCACCGAGAGGATGTGCAAACTTCCAGCCCTAGAAGTTTGAGTCTATTGTTCCATACAAACAAAGCTTCTTCTTGCTCAGTTAAAGGATAACAAAGGTCTGGGGAAGCAGGATGTGGGGACCTGCAATCGGCTGCCACTCTTCAGTAAACCTGCTCTTTAAAGCCACCAAAGTGCACATAAGCGTCTGGTTCTCAAACAGAAACAAGCTGCATAAGTGACAGAGTAGGGTGTAGACCTGCTGTCATTCACAGACTCGTTTAAGAAGGCCGTACAGAGCACAGGGCACCTCTCACATCGCTGTAAGGGACATTATTTATATTGTGACCAGCACAGAAGCAACAGACGGATGAGCTAGTTCAAAATAATGCTGATTTATTTTAGTGTTTTGCGGCTTTCCTTAGTAGTCAGACACCAACACAACTTAGAACAACCTTCATTCATTTTCCCATCAGAAAGGTCTTCAGTTTTCATCTCAGGCTAATTGCACCATTGATAGAGAAGCGTTTGATGGTAGCTATCATTTACAGAGCTGATCGGTAGTCAGTTCAAATGCAGTTTGGTGCTCAAGCAGAAA